CGACTTTTCCATGACTGGAGGTCACTGTAATCTAACCAAAGCAGAAGACGTTTTACATGTTTTTAATTTTTTTTTTAAATAGAAATTAATGACAAGTTGTCTCTCTTTTTTCTTCAATAAAAAGATTTAGGCACGTTGATGCCTTAGGCCTACGTGCTAGAGCTTTTTGTTAGAGATCTAGGCATGCAAGGCTAGTACTTCATGGTTTTTTTTTTCTTTTTTATTCTTAACAATTAGATTTTTATTGATTTTTTTTAAAACAATTTCACTTATAATTTTTTTATATTTATTTTTTTGAAAAAAAATATAATTTATTTTATTTTGATATTTATATTTTTATTATAATCTCATACAGACACATTAATATTTAGTTGATTTTTAATTTTATAAATATTTATTTTTTATAATATAATAAAAGAAAAATTATAAAAAAAATAATTGAAACCAAATCATAAATTTGACCAATTAACTTGCATTAGTTAGGAATCAAATGTTATAAATTACATATTTATTAATTAAATATATGCATATATTTTTAAATATATTATTAAAAATTTTTAATTAAAAATATGTAAAAAATCTCATCATATTAATTTTTTTAAATTATCCAACTCTTTACAAGGTGCAGATCAAATAGAAGGAGTCCTCAACTATATTCTAATTGATTTTTTAGGAATTATTATTATTATTATTTTTTATTATATCAAAACTACAAGACCATCATTCTCGCTGACCCCAGGATTGATGGGCCTTAGAAAGGGGACCCTATAGCCTTGTCGGTGTCTCCAATAATTGCATGCAGGCTTGCGGTCTTCATTGTCACAGGAAAGGGGTAGCTTTTAATTATTAATGCATGACAGGAGGAGATATTGACTCTTGTTTTATTAGCACCGTTTTGTTTTTTAAGAAAAAAAAAATCATGCCACAACAATATACTTTTAAAAAACATTATGAAATATCACAGTTCATGGAAGTAACGAAAATATATAGAAGTTCTGATTACAGTATTATTAATATCATAAAAAAATTAAATTAAATTAAATAATTATAATAATATTAAAAAATAACCAACATAAATTCAAGTAAATTATATTTTTTTGAAAAAGACAATAAGTCATTTTCTAGAGTTCTTTTGTTTTTATATTTTAAAAATACTTGTAAAAAAATTATTTTTTTCTTTATTTTAAATTATTATTATTATTATGTTTTTAGATTATTTTTATATTTTAATATTAAAAATAATTTTTAAAAAATTCTGAGATTAATTATGATTTTTAATAACTAAAATATTAAATAGCGATTTTTTTTACTTATAAAAAATAAAAATTTCTTATTTATTTCCTTTTATTACCAAAGAAATCCTGACTAAGGAAAAATATCATTACTACACTCCATAAATACGACAATATTTATTTGATGAGCCTCAAATGTTATAAACTAAAAAGAAAATCTTTTTCTTAAAAAAAAACCTCAAATAAAAGATACACTCTTACATCCATATGTTTTATTAAAAAACATTAATACATTTTTCTTAGAAGCTAAACTTAAAATTTAAATCTAAGAAACTTAAAGAAAAGATACATCCTAGTATACTAAATTAACTTCAAATATTTCAAACTTTCAAAATACAGGGTCTCTTTCCTAAGTCCTGTACTTATATATTTTCTTAATTGAAGAACATATTCTTAATTAGAGGGATTGAAGTTCAAAAAAATTGATTTAGAGCGTGGGGGGATGTGTGTGTATATATATAATATTTTTAAATTGATTTATCGAGTCATTCCCATTACTTAGATTATAACATTGCATCCAGGTGTTTGGAATGGTAGCTTGGAATAGTAGCGTTTATTTTTTAAAATATTTTTTATTTTAAAATATATTAAAATAATATTTTTTATTTTTAAAAAATTATTTTATATAAGCACACTAAATTAATTTGAAAATATTAAAAATATTAATTTAAAATTAAAAAAATAAATTTTAAAAAAATATTTTTGAAATTCAATCTCAAACACCACCTACTATTACTATTTGGGGCTAGGCCAGCCACCAGACTGGGTTTAAAAACTATGATTTGGGGCCAGCATTTAATCTTTAGAGTTTTAATTTGATATGAGGGTTTAAAGTTCGGTTGTTTAGGGTTTAAAGTTTGGTTTAGGGTTTAGGATCCGTTTATGAAAATATATAGATATAATAATGGGAACCAGGCAGGAAGGGGACCGTATAGTGCTGTCACCTTCAATAGTGTCGTCGTTGTCTCTGAAAAATGCATATGGCCGTGTTGTCTTCATTTTTACAGCTAGGTAGAACTCAGAGAGTGGCGAAGGAGGTGGGTGCGTAGCAGCTGGAAGTAGGGACATATGAAACCTTGGCTGCAGAAATGGAAATGACAAACACGTGATCATTGTTCCATTTACTCGTGAGTTTGTCGGGGTCTTGCCACAGTTGAAATACAAATTGAAATTGATAAGAAATAACACAATTAATAAAATATTTTAAAAAAAATTAAACTGAGGAGGAATGATAGGAAAGTCTTTTTTGAAGATATACCGAAATTTCAATGATAATTAAAAAAAAACAAAATAAAATAAAATACACCAACACTAAAAAAAATTCATTATAATGGGCCACAAGAACTGCTTTAAGGTGACAGGTCTCATTTTTCAAAATATTTTCTGTAATGTGTTATTTTTTTTAATTGTGCTAATTTACAAGAAAAACTCTTCTTTTACTCCTGTCAAAATTCTGCAACGCTACCTCTCTTATTCCCATCTCTAGCTTGTGAAGCAACGCAAATTGGAAAATGGAAGTCCAAATCACATCAAGAAAATTGATAACTCCATCATCTCCGACTCCTCCCCACCTTCAAAACACGAGAGTGACATGTTTTGACCAGCTTGCTCCATTTTTTTACGTGCCTACAATCTTCTATTACCCTGTTGATGGGGAAGAATATGCTGTCAAGAACGCAGAAAAAAGTTCGCTGTTACAAAAAACTTTGTCTGAAATCTTAACACTCTATTATCCATTCGCAGGAAGATATGCAAGAGATAATCTTTCAATCGAATGTAATGACAAGGGAGTAGAATATTTGGAAGCCAAAGTATACGGCAGCCTCTCTCAGTTTCTTCAGCGGACATCGCCGAATCACTTGGTTCAACAGAACTTTCATCCAGACTACAGCTCTCCACTAGCAGTGCAATTCAACGAGTTTGAATGTGGTGGAGTCGCTATAGGTATCTCAATGACACACAAGATAGGAGATGGATTCACCATGTTCACATTGATTAACAACTGGGCTACTGCATGCCGAATAGGAGTCAATAAAGTTCATCGCCCAAGTTTCGAATTGGGTATCATTTTCCCACCACGAGAAGCATCTAGAGTTCAGAATTTGGTTCTAGGAAGAGCTCCGACTAATAAGATCGTCACAAAGAAGTTTGTGTTTGATGGTGAGGCAATATCAAATCTGAAAGCAGCTGCTAGTGCAAGCAGTTCACAGTTCAACAGACACCAACTAACGAGAGTAAAGGTTGTGACAGCACTTATTTGGAGTGCATTTATTCGGGTAGATCAAGCTAGGGATGGAAGAAGGAGACCTTCCATGTTGAAAGTTCCAGTGAATCTGCGAGGAAAGACAAATATAAAAATCCCAGAAAACTCTTGTGGGAACTTTATAAGTTGGGCTGTAACGCATTATCTGCCAAATGATGAGTAAAGATGCAACTTCATGAATTGGTAAGCAGGATCCATGATGCGATTGAGAATACTGTCTCAAATTATGAGAAAGCTTCAAATGGCGAAGACTTATTTTTTATGGTAAACGAAGACTTTCAGAAGGTAAGTCAAGCTTTGAAGGAAAGTGAGGCAGATGTCTATATGTTTTCTTGCTGGAGCCGGTTCCCACTTTATGACGCAGATTTTGGTTGGGGAAAGCCCGCTTTGGTGAGTAGAAGTGTGCAGGTTGAGAAAGAGATGATTTTGCTTCTGGACACTAAAGATGGCAAAGGAATTGAGGCAAGGGTAAGCTTGGAAGAAAACAAAATGCTTCTTTTCCGACAAGATCCATATATTCTAGCATTCAGTCACTACAAAAAAAGCAGACTATAATTCTCCTTCTCGTATGTTTAGTGACATTATTAGTGTCGTTAAAAATGTTACCCATTTAACTGGGGCTTTGTTTCTTGATTATTCAGTCGAGCTATGACTGTGAGTTCGCCAAATAATGTGTGCAATACTGTGAGTGTCGCTTGTGAATGCTTAATTTCTTGTATTATAAAAAAACTTGATTGCTTTTAATTGCATAACTGAAGTGTTTGGAGTATGGATGTTTTATTTCTGCAGGCTTTCATCTTTAAGTTGATTTGTACAAGTGTCTCATCAGTGACAATTTTTTGGTAGTAACAAGATCTGCCGGGATCTTTCAAGCAAATTATTATCGTCATCTCATGCAGTAGGCTGGATTTCCTCTTCTTGTAATGCTTCTCGTTCTTGTTTTTGTGAGGACAATCATGCCTCACATGACTCCGCGTTTCGCAATCAATAACATCTCTCCTATTTGAATCAACTTTGTCACTTTGTTGACCTTCGAAGTTCTATCGATTTGCATACTTCTCTTTTTCAAAAAATTTATTCAATCTTATATCCTCCTTATCATCATCATTATTGCTTTCATCATCCATTTTGTGTACCGAGGACTTCAAAGCAATCGTCATTTTCATCCATTTTACGATCCTTCATCTTTCCTTCATGTGCTGTTAACGAAACAATAAACTCATCAGAGTTTAGAGTTCTGAGGTTCATGGAATTCTCAATTTCCGTGAACTTTATCTCCCAAACCTGAGGTAATGGCCTCGAGATTTTGCCAATCATTTCTTTATTGATAACGTTTTACCTAAAGCCGCAAGCTCACTAAGAATACTAATGAACACACTGTGCATTTTTCTTTTGTCTTTGCCCGGTTCTATCTTAAAAAGTCCATACTCTCAATTGAGGCATACTTATAGCCTTTCCATTACAACAGAGGCGATGAATTATACGAGCTTAGGAGAAAATGGAGATCACTAATCCACTAAATGCATCTATAATAACTTATCTCTGAGTTATTCCCCTAAAAGTTACATTTTCCCTTCCCCATGAAACACTAAATATAAATAATAATAGCAAGGAGATTGGCTATTCCAAAATAGACTAAGGCGAATTTCAAATATATTAAAGAATTAAGTTGCAAATATTTGCAAAATTTGGAGGATAATATATCCTGTTGTATTCCAAATCGGAAAGACAATGTAGATTTAATGTCAAATTAAATAATTATTGAATGAATTTACATAAAAATTAAGTTTTTAGATGCAAATAAATTTTTAATAAGTCAATTTGATTTAATTATGAGACAAATTAAAGTTTAATTGTGTTTAAGAATTTATTTGGATTCAATTAAACTGAGACAAATTAAAGTTTAATTGTGTTTAAAAATTTATTTGGATCCAATTAAACGATTTAATTAAGTGCAAAGACTTAATTATATTTTGAACTAGTCAAATTAATTTCATCAAAGACTTAATTGGTGAAAAATTAAGTTTAAAGGCTCAATTTGAGCTTAATTGAGAAGATTAGAATTTTAGAGGACCAAACTTAATTTTTATAGAGTTAATTGATTGAAATTAAAGGTAAAATCATAAAAAAAAACCCAAAGTTTAGAGTCCATTAGGAGTCAAATTGAAGAAATTCATAGCTAATTATCTTTTTAAAAAAATATCGAATTCTAAAAACTTAATTTAGTTGAAATTAAGAGTGAAATTGAAATAATTAAAACTTTAATGGTTAATTGAAGGTAAATTTGTATAAATTCAAAATCAATGATGATAATAAAAAAACACTGAAATTCAGGGTTAATATTAAAGCTCAGTAAGGATAAAATTACATAAAATTAAAAATTTATGTATGATAAATGAAAACTAAAAATTTATGTATGATAAATGCCCTTCATACCCCATTGTTGAATCTTTTTTTTTTAAGGCCTTGTTTGTTTCTAGGAAAATGAATTTTTGAAAATCATTTTTTCTACTTTTTTATATTTGATAAACATAAAAAAAATTCATCTAAAAAAACTCAATTATGATGAAAGAAAAACAAAAAACTTTACGACAGGAAAGTGTTTTCCTTTCCTTATTCTAAGGAAAACACATTCCTTTCTCTTTATTAACAAAACATGCACTGTTCTGAAATATAAATCTCAAATTATTCTCTACTCTCTCACTTCTCTCTAATCCCATCAATGAACATTCACTGCTCTTTCTTCACTAACCCCTACCTGCTGCTTGTCTTCTTGATAACTTTTTTTATTTTCTGAGCTCTAATAAAAACAGAGAACAGTATCATCCAATCTTTCTTTCGTTGATGGCACCAAGTTAAAAGATCTGAATTTGGGTGTGAAATCTTGAGAATAGGTGCTGAATTGGGTGTCAAAAGTGAAGGAAAAGTTTGGTGGAGTGAATTCTTCAACCCTGTCAAGTGCTATAGGGCATCTTTTTCTCCTCTTGGATTCTCTGATTATTCCTTGCTTTTCTTTCTTGAGTTCCTTACTTGAAGAAATAGCTTGTAATGGTGGGTCTAGGCTGGAATCTTGATTTTTGGAAGGTTTTTCAATTTTGTTTTTCTCTACCATTATTCGGGGTCATGACTTACGAGGAGAGAAGACATAAAGATAAATAAAAATATTTTATTTAAAAAAATTATAAAATTTAATTTTTAATGAATTACCTATACAGTAAAAAAGAAGAAGCAATCTTTATCAAAAAAAATCTATCAAAATATTTTTTATATTTATTTATCTTTTAAAAAATTCTTAATACCAAAAAACCCAAATATTTAACTCTTACTTGGTTAAAACAAATCTTTAAATCATAAACTAATTGAGCTTTCTTCATATAAAAAAAATATATTTTAAGCTTTTAAACTTAAAAAAAAATTAATAGGTTTTATTTATAAAAAAGTTTACAAAATTATATCTTTATAATATTATATAACATATATAGTTATATTTTATAAAATAAGCTATATATGAATATAACATATAATAAAAAAATTCTTCATTACACTTTTTATATCTTATTTTTTTATTGTAAGTGATTAAATATTTATATTAAATATTTTTTATATATTAGATAAATTAAAAAACATTAATTCATTAATAAATTATTTTTCAGTTCATTTTCCATAACATAACCAAACACTAGAAAGTGTTTTCCAGTTTATTTTTTATTATACTACCAAACATCAGAAAATACTTTTCTGGAATTCATTTTTTCTGAAATTCACTTTCCAAAAAAAAACTACTTTCTTGCAAACAAATAGAGCCTAAATCTAAAGAGAGTTAGTTCAATTATACTCCTAATCAAATCTCTTCCATTATAGTTGTATAATACAAATAAAATCTCATGTTTTTGTTTTGCAAATTAAGGCTGCAAATTTGTGATATATATTGATGAGAGAGGCTAGAGAATTGGAACTAAAGGCTATAATATTGAGATTGAAACTTGGAATTAATTGTTAGGATTGATTAATTGGATTCTAGATTAAAATGAATCAATTGAACAAAATTGGACCTCAAATTTGAATTAAATTAATTTAACTAAATTGGATTTAATTGGGATTAATTGGTTTGAATTGGTTAGATTAAAACAAAATGGGACTAAAATGTTTTATTATACTACCAAATATCAGAAAATATTTTTTTTGGAATTCACTTTTCAAAAAAAAACTACTTTCCTGCAAACAAATGGAGCCTAAATCTAAAGAGAGTTAGTTCAATTACGCTCCCAATCAAATCCTTCAAATCTCTTCCATCATAGTTGTATAATACAAATAAAATCTCATGTTTTTGTTTTGCAAATTAAGGCTGCAAATTTGTGATATATATTGATGAGAGAGGCTAGAGAATTGGAACTAAAGGCTATAATATTGAGATTGAAACTTGGAATTAATTGTTAGGATTGATTAATTGGATTCTAGATTAAAATGAATCAATTGAACAAAATTGGACCTCAAATTTGAATTAAATTAATTTAACTAAATTGGATTTAATTGGGATTAATTGGTTTGAATTGGTTAGATTAAAACAAAATGGGACTAAAATGAATTATAAAAAAGTCAATTTGTCCCCTTAATATCTAATCCTCTTCATTATAGTCCTTGGCTTTATAACTTTGCAATTTCATTCAATTAAGATTTCTAATCTTAAAATTTCTTTCAGTTTAAACCTTAAATTCAATTAAATGATCTTTTCAATTTAGACCTTGGTATTACAAAAATTCCTAAATTGCATTTTTTTTTTCCATTTGTGTCCCTAATTGAATCATTTTATTCCTCTAGATTTAACAATTTGTTGCAAATTCATCCTTGATTCTTCCCATCTTCATTTTTAAAACAAATTGATTGTCAATTTTAAATTATATTTTCAATTATGCCCTCTATTGATTTCTAACTTAGCTATTTATTTCAAAATATCTTTGAACTTAAAATTTCTTTTAATCTTAGCCAAATGAAGTCCTTTTCTAAATTTCATCTTCAATTGAACTTTGATTACGATCCAAAAATTCTCAAATTTAATTTTTATACATGATACTCAATTATTGATCCAATTTTAACCCATTATATTTTCAATTATGCCCTCTATTGATTTCTAACTTAGCTATTTATTTCAAAATATCTTTGAACTTAAAATTTCTTTTAATCTTAGCCAAATGAAGTCCTTTTCTAAATTTCATCTTCAATTGAACTTTGATTACGATCCAAAAATTCTCAAATTTAATTTTTATACATGATACTCAATTATTGATCCAATTCTAACCCCCCCCCCTCTCTCTCTCTATATATATATATATATATGGAGACCAAGAATTGAGTATACTCATACTCGATTATACTAGAGGAGTTTATTCTTTTAAGTCTGATAGTTAAGCATAGCTCAATATATTTCAATTCATTTTTGATAGATGAGCTAACCATATTATTCAAATTGACATAACAAGAAATTAACATGACAACAAATTGAATAAGAGATTCACTTAGTTACTTTATATAGTACATGCTTAGTTTTTTATTTTACGTGGGGTGTCTGGGACAGTTTACGCGCATCACGACTAATTTCCACGGCCCACTAAACATCCTGCAAGCCCAGTGAGCAGGTAAGACACCGCGGGGATGACAGACATACACGGTAAGGCTCGAACCCAGATGCAAAGGAAGGGGACAAACCCCTCCCACTACTGGGCTAGAACCTTACTTGCGTACATGTCAAGAAATTAACATGACAACAAATTGAATAGGAGATTCACTTAATTACTTTATATAGTACATGCTTAGTTTTGGTTAGTGACATGTTTAAACTAGCACTGGGAATCACAATTTATACCTAATTGTTGTTATTTATAACATTATTCCATCAAATTATAATCATTACATCAATTCTTACCTAACTTTGATTTGTTAAAGATAAAGTGGTGGGAGTGGCAGTGATGGAGGAGGGTGAAGAAGAAGGAGGGGTGGTACGTAGTTACGGGAAAAACACAAATGTGGAAAAGGAGAGGAAGAGATGATGAAAAGAAGAGAGAAATGGAGTAAAATAGCTGGGATTTGGTGCAAACAGGAGAGGAAGATTGATCAGTGATGGGGAAAAGAAACAGTTTAGTCAGAAAAGGTGTAAGAGAAATAGGGAGGAATTATAGGGTATTTTATTTTTACAGTTGCAATGTTTGAAATGTTTGCGCTATTAGAATAACATAATTTATAGGGTTGTGTTGTTCCCAACAACACAAACCATCATGGGGTGTTGTTTTTCAAAAACAAATTTTTATTTGTGTTGCCTTTCTAAAATGTTTTGGAGAAAGTGCTGTTTTAGAAATAAAATAAAATTAAAAGTTTAGTGACAATGATTGATTGGTCCGACTCATGGATTATGATTTATGAGCTTTTTTTCAAGCCGGGAGAAATAAAATATCCAAATATCAAACACTTTAATAAATTAAAAGAAAAATTATATTGATTCTTCTATAGTTTAGTTTTTTTTTTACTTTATTTTTATTTTTTATTTATCAATGGATTTTTTTACTTGAAGAAAAAAACTAATAATTCAATCAATCCAAAATTTCCATTCCAAAAATAGAAATTAAAATCAAACCCGAGATAAAAGAAGTACAAGAAAATTAAACTGTAATTTCTTAAAAAAATATACAAAAAATAAAAATATAACTAAACTACTGGAGTATCAATATAATTTCTCATTTATTAAATCAATAAAAACACCCTTTTTTTTTAACAAACTAAGTGGTCACGGACAGCAATTTCACTCAAACCACACGCATAATTTGGCGATCTCACGGTCAGAAACCGGCTGGATTTCTTTATTTGATTGCACACACTGAACATAACAAGAAAATAAAGCCTAAATTACATAACCAGCTTGGAGCACAAAAAGGAGAGGGGTAGTTGGTGATGATACAGCTTAATTTTTAGGAAGTACTGAATGCTAGAATATCAGGATCTTGTTGAAAAAGAAGCATTTTATTTTCTTCCAAGCTCACTATTGCCTCAATTCCATTACCATCTTTAGTGTCGAAAAGCCTAATACACTCCCTTGGAACCTGCGAATTACCACCACACACCAAAGTTGGCTTTCCCCAACCAAAATCAGCTTCATACATAGGGAACCGACACCAGCAACCAAACATATAGACATCTACTTCATTTTCTATCAATGCTTTACTTACCTTCCGAAAGCCGTCCATCACCAGAAAAAAATAAGTCATCATCACTTGTAGCTTTTGAATAATTTGGGAAAGCATTTTCAATTCCGCTATTAATTCGACTTACCAATTCATGAAGTTTCACCTCGCTCTCATCACCTGGCTTGAATTGAGCGACTGCCCAGCTTACCAGGTTTCCACAGGAATTTTCTGGTATTGGTTGCTGTATCTTTCCTCGCAAATTAACTGGAACTTTCATGAGGGAAGGCCTCATACAGCCATGTCTGGCTTGAGACAACCTCATTAAACACCTCCATATAAGTGCTATCACAACCTTCACTCGTGTGACCTGGTAGTTGAGAGACTGATGTGAACCGCTAGCACTGAAATTTGTAGCTTCTTTCAGCTTCGAAATCGCTACACCATCGAACAAAAACATTTTAGTGACAATATTATTAGTTGTAGCTTTGATTGCAACAATATTCTCCGCTCTAAATGCAGCTCTTGGTGGGAAAATGGAAGCTAATTCGAAACTCGGGCAATGCACTTGATCGACCCCAAAGCGGCTTGCAGTAGTCCAGGCATTAATGAAGGTGAACACCGTGAATGCATCAGCAATCTTGTGTGTCAGAGATATACCTATAGCAATTCCACCACATTCGAACATGTTGAATTGAACAGCTAATGGAGAGCTATTACTTG